CCTCGCTTAACGATTACCTCGTTAAACGACAAAACCACTTGACGATGAAGTTTTTGCAATCGCAAAATGATGTTTAGATAGGGAAATTTCGCTTGAAGATGATCGGTTCCCTGCTTGGGGAACCGATTTTCCGCTAGACGACCATTTTTAAACAGCTGATCGGCGGCTCTAAAATGGCCGCCCGCTGTGCAAAATGGCTCCCCGTTGTGTTTTCAGCACGGATTCCTCACTTTACAGGCACAAAAAATGGACCCTATAGAGGATCTTTGTTGGACGCTGAGGTATTTAGCCCATTGGAACGCATTGAACCGGTTTCAATGCATTTCAATGGGCTTTTTCGTTTCGCTTGATGAGGATTTCGCTTAACAGCGATTCCAACAGAATGAATTATCCTCGGCAAGCGAGGCACAACTGTATCCCATTTCACGTCCATATCAACATGCCATGTAATCCTGTCGTTCAGGATGGGGCTTAAAATTCCTTGTCAGAAGGCAGGGAAGAAAATCTCAAACCGGTCCCTGAACTGCAACACCCAGGATCCCGTAGGACGGAGTCGTGTCGTTTAAACTCGTATCAAACCGTGACAACTGTGTCGTGCGGATCCCTTCGGATGAATTGCACACCGCTTGATCTTTGTACGTTTCTTTTCTTTCTCTCCCTTCTTGCAGACGACCGGAGACCCATCCTTCGCACCCGGGGCCCCGGTCTGCTCCTTCCTCCCCGCCTGCTTCTGTCTGATATGTTTGATATTAGGTTGTTCTACTCGGAAACCAACTAAATATCAAACATATTCTTACAGCGCCAGGGTTGTTTCGACGCCTCGCCGGGACCGCGTTCCTCGTCGGAATCCATCTGGGCTGCCTGCTGGCCGCCTTGCACCTCGTGACTTTTTTTTTCTCCTCAGTAGGAACAGATTCAGGAAAATGTAGAAGAGATGTGAGGGAAAAATGACTTTTCTTTTGAGAGAGACTCCGGACTCCGAAAGGGTTGTTTCGACGCCTCGCCGGGACCGCGCTCCTCGTCGGAATCCATCTGGGCTGGCCGGCCGCCGCCCTGCACCTCGTGATGTTTTTCCTCAGTATCTTTTGAGAGAGACTCCGGACTCCGAAAAGTGAGGGGTACGGCCCTGTGCAGAACTGGGGGGGGGGGGCTGGTTCTGGGCTATTAAGGGGAAAACTTAGAAACTAGAAATCCCCAGGGTCTGGGGTTTAATGGAGGACTCCTGGTTAGTAGTGGGACCCCAAAATAGAAACCTCGGGGTGCATGCAGGAACTTCTTAGCCACTGTGGGAGAAAGGGGGCGGGGGGGAAGATACACAGGGCTTGGAACGTGCCTTCCAAAAAAGCAATTCGCCGAAATTAGTCTTCCGAAACACTCCAAAGTAGCCTGTTACCGTTCCAGAATTTTAAGAAAGTAACTTGTCGCTGTGACATTATAGTTATAGTTTTCCACAAAAACGTCCTTGTTTCGTTGCCTTGTTATTTAAATTAAAGGAAAATTTCCTTGGAAAAACTACCGTGATGCTACATTACACAGCTCAATAGTGAAATCACACCCTCCTTGTTAACTACGATAAAAGTAACTAACTACCAAGGGTGGGAATAATTCTTCAGAAGGAGTGGCATTACCCCTAGTTCCTTTTGCAACCGTTCGGTTATCCCTATGTTATTTCTTGCTGGAAAGAGTCAATTCCAAGGAACTTGTTGCATTGCTCCCAAGCTCGGGAAAGAAAGAAAAAATTCTGGGGGGGGGGGGAAAGGTCCCCGGTTTGTCTATCATCTTCATCATCGCTCCTACAGGGTTCAAGTTACTGGGGGAACGAGGTCACTCATGTGATCCGGGGCACGGAGAGACACTGTGAGCCCATCGGGCACCTGTCAAGAAGCAGATTGGTAACCAAACGCCGACGGCCTCGGATAAAAAATGCCCGATCTCTTCCATGGCAGTGCCCGTCGTTGCCTGCTGGGCATAGCGGGTGGGTAATCCGAGGAATTGTTCTGGGGCTATTTAAAGCAGTAGGATAGGGTGTCAAGGAACAAAAGCCGAGGACAAGGTTTTACGGAGACATGGAGGGCACCGGGAATGCCCTTTCCCCTCAGCTTGCTGACTTCATGAGTCCTGTCCTCCCAAAGAGATTCCTGAGCCCGGAGGGGGGGGGGAGAAGTGGTATAGTCCCAGCTTAGGGCTGGCTGTACCGCTTGGGTCTCTGCTGACTTCATGAGTCCTGTCCTCCCAAAGAAATTCCCGAGCCAGGGAGGGGAAGTGGTACAGTCCCAGCTGAGGACTGGCTGTACCGCTTGGGTCTCTGGCTTGCCCAAACGGCATGGTCCCCCAGAACGCCAAATCCCTTCACAACAGACATGTAGTAACAGCCAGAAAAGGCACAGAGGAGGTCTGGTACTCTGAGATGGACTGCGCCTAAAGCTGGAGGCTCTCTTTGTACGGATGAGGATAGGAAGCAAGTGGGCTTCAGTTGTTCTTGTACCAGGAGACCTGTCCGTCTTCACAATTAGTCACAGAGGTCAAGAGAAAAAAAGGAGGAGGAGGATTGTGATGATCGCGCTTCCAATTGTTCGGAAAGATGGCTGTTTTGAACTCCCAGAATCCTCTGGGCCAACAGCGCGCTGCCCGAGGGATTGTGGGAATGGTACTCAAGAAGGTTGACATCTGGTTTTTAGCTAAAGCTCCTCCCCACAGAATAAACAGGAATAAATAGCCCTCTCAAAGACATGAGAGCAAAATAATGATTGATTCACCATTCCGTGGCCGGTTCGGTGGGTTTACTCTTTTGCCTAGCCAAATCCCAGATTTCGGTTTTATTAGCCATCCTCGTGGCCCATTTCCATGGCGCGAGCATTGCTCCGCGCCCATCAGATGCCCTCCCACTTGGCCAGGCTACTAGGATGACCCTCTACGTTTTTATTTTTGTGGTCTTTGATTATCAAAGCCTCTAGTCCTTCGTGTACGTACTGTACGGTGAATTCTGTTGGCCTCCTTTCTCCGCCAACGCCCCTCGGTTTCCCACCAGTCCCTCGGGACAAGAGTCAGCTGTGGGCATGATCTGTGCCAGTGCCCAGCGCTGCCAACCCCAGACCATCGTGCTCAGAGGACGCCCGGCGATTAAATCACAGATGCAGACGGAGGCGTTGCCACCAGGCTGGGCGCTTTACTCAGAACAATGTTCTCATCGACTAAGTCACCCTCCTCGCTTTGATCCAGAACGGAGTCTGGACCGATCAGGTGGAAAGCAGTAGGTGGGAGAGAAAATATTTTAAGGAGATGAAAACATGCAGGAAAACAAAAGATAATCGGACTGACGTGGCCGCTTCCCGAGTGGGTGCCTTAGAACCGCCTGAGATGCTGATACACCCACCTGGTTTCTGATGAAAAACATTTGGATCCAACCATAATAAAAAATAATCCTGCACCACTGAGTCAATTCTGATTTATGGCGACCCTTTCCAGGTAGAGAAGACTCAGAAGCGCTTTACCCTTCCCTTCCTCTAGGGGGAGCCCTGGGACGGTGCAGCTGGCCCAAGGCTCCCCAGGCTGGCTCTTCTGAGATCCACAGTGGGTGGGTGGGGATTCGAATTCCCAACCTCTGGCGCCATAGCCAGATCCCTAAACCACTTAAGCACCCAGCCAGCAAGAGAAAGTATTATTATTTTTTAAAGTCCAATTTCTAGGAGCCTCCTACCAGCATGGCCGGAAGGTAGCTGCTGGGGCTATTCCGAAAAAAGTGAATCTCTCCCCATTCTGGACCTGAATCTGATGTGAACGGGTGGCGGGTGTTTCCCCCTGGGTACCTAAATAAATGTATTTCTTAGCACACAGGTCAGTTACACAACTCTGAGAAGACAGCGTTATTGATCTGGGTGTTTTCCATCCCCTTGACTCTGCCCCCTGAGGCCCTTTGCCTCACGGCAGGGCCGGCTCGGTGCGTCTCCATGGTCCAGCTGCTGGAAACTACAGGGTGGGGAAATAAAAATATTAGGGCGGGGGGGTTCATCCTTTTAACACCAGTCATGCAGAGGGTTGCCCTTCAAACAGAAGCATATTATCTGATGATGATGATGATGATGATAATGCTAATGCTAATGCTAATAATGCTAATGCTAATGCTAATATGAATTTCGTTGTATGGTATACTGTGTATATACTTACAATGACAATAAATTATATTATTATTATTAATAATGCTAATAATGCTAATACCGAAGAGTGTCTCCCACCAGGACAAGATTCCGGCTGGACCCTCTGGAAGTCAGACTTTGAAGGGAAGAAGGAAGATCAAAGAATAATCAAGTAAAATGGAGCTACCTGGATACAGAGCAAATTTTTCTGTGGCTGTGGAGAAATTCAATCCATGCAGCACCTCTGTGCGTGCAGTTTATGCCCCACCGTTCGTGCGCAAAAGAAGATCTACCGAAGGGCCGAGAGAATGCTATTGTGGGGGAGCCTGCCTTCTGCTCGAAAACTGTCTAATAATAATAATAATAATAAATCTTAGAACTGCATAGCTGGAAGGGACCCTCTGGATCATCAAGTCCGGAAGGCCCAGGCGGGAATCGAACTTCTGACTTCTGGTTCCGTCGCCAGAGATCTAGGCGCACGGGTACGGCTGGAAGCGGCCGGCGGTCCGCACCTGCCAGCCCGCGAGAGGATGAGCGTCGAGAGGGTTGGGTGACCTCCTGGAACAAAAGCTTGAGGCCCCTCATTCTTCTCCCGTGGCTTTTTGGGGGTTTCTATTCCGGGCGTCCACCTGTTCTCCGGGGAGTCCAAATAGGGCCACCGAGGATCACAGAGGGAAAAAAATCTCGCTCCCGCCCCTCGAGGCCAATGCCAGGACGCCAGTCAGGGGCGGACGTGGTGCCCAGCAGCGGTGCCGTCCGAGAAAGGTAAAAAAAACCCTCCACCCCCACACACACCCCAAAGCCAGCTGGCAAGGCAGGGCAGGTATAAAGGGCTGAGCCCGAGGACCGAGGTTGCCGGACGCCGGGTTCATTTCCCCCGCAGACGGTGCTCGCTCGCGGACGGTTCTTCCTCGGAGCCAGCCCCTCCGCCACCGACTGCCGCCATGGAGGCCATCAAGAAGAAAATGCAGATGCTGAAGCTGGACAAGGAGAACGCGCTGGACCGCGCGGAGCAGGCCGAGGCCGAGCAAAAGCAGGCGGAGGAGAGGAGCAAGCAGGTGAGGAAGACCTCCGCTCGGTGGGCCGCTGGGGGTTAAGAGAGGTGACCAAGGCTCTAAGCGGGAACAGGAGCCGCTTTCAAGAAACATCCTTTTTTTTCGTGAAAAAAATAAGAGTTTTCCCTAGTCCTGCACTGTTTTCCATAATCAGAACGGTAAGAATTTGAGGATTTACAAGTCTGAGGAAACCGAGACCATGTCGTCAGTTTAGAGGTTTGCATACTTAGCGGTCAAAGTTCTGCATTCGAATCCTGATGGGTTCTGCCCTAGTTATGCTGAAGGTTGCCCTAGATTTGCCACTCAAGGGCTGCCTCCTCTTTAAAACCAGGATGGTGCAACGGGACGCTCTCTGTGCTGGGAAAAGCGGTCTCTGCTCAAGTGGGCAGGAGGGTGAAACTTCTAATTTTTTTTCTCCTTTGAAGAAGGGTCGGAAAACATTGGCAAAATCACAGGTTTGGGCAGAAAGAATCAGGGATCTGTAAAAAAAAACACACAACTAAATCTAAAGGCAGAGAGCAGTGATACTGACAGATTTTTCTCACCCTTACTACTGTATAACTTTTCTTCCGCCCATCCTGCCTTGCAGGGTAGTAGAGAAGATGGAAGCTATGTGTATAGGAAGTGTGCTACATGCACTATCCTCTACCTCTTAGATTAAGGATAGTGTTAAAAAAATTAATAATTCGCCCGCACGGTCTCCTAACATGCCAATTTAATTCAGACCTCCCTCTTTTTCAAATCATGCAGCTGGCTTAGAATGAATCTAGTAATTTCGTGTCAGATTTAAAGGATTTAAGTGCCTGCGGCTTAATTTTGGATGGATGATTGAGTTCCTGGGGCTCGTTTGTCAAGCGGGACTTAAATAACACCGGCGACTTTGAGTCAGCCTTGACTCATCACTACAACTCCCATGATTGCTTGTCACAGGACGATGGGAGATGGAGTCTGAGAGCTCCTGCTATTGACGCCAAAAGGCGTGGCATCATTGCGGCGGGATTAGAGTTGAGATATACACTCGTTACACCTGCCTCGTGGCCGAAAAGAGAGTGAGAATTAATTATAAGCAATTTATTATGGGTAACGAGGGACTTGCAAAGCTCCTGTTCGCACCTCGTTCCAAAGAGCTGAAAACAGTTTCTGGGCTGAACAGAATTATCATTCCTCAACTGCAGGGGGGGGAAATAAACTCTGTGCATGCTCAGAGGGGCCATCAGCAGCAGACTGCTCTGGATCCGAAAGCAGATCCTTTAACTTTCGGTTGCCCTGAACCCTTCCAGAATCTCACCATTTTCCCCGGGCGTGTGGGTTAGATGAGTCAAAAGGGGCTGGTCTGTTTCCCCCAGAGATATCTGATTTCGCATTCCAAGCTAGTGACAAAAATATTGGCAAACAAAGGGGTCGGATGGGAGGGGGGGTGTCCTCCGCTCAGGATGGCTCCGGGCTGATCAGGCCGACAACTGAAGATGATGGGAGCTACAGGGAGAGCCTGGATTGGATGTCCAGAGAGACAAGGAGCCTCAGGTTGCCCTCGTTGCGCACGCTGGCATTTAGCAAACCAAACAACCCAACAACTTTGATTGGGAAATTTTCCTTTTTGTGGGTGGGTGGGTGGACTCCCAAGTCCCAGCTGAGGCTGCTTGTCCTTTGAGCACATCTAAGAAGACAGGATTCTCTGGGGGGGGAAACCATACTTAACGGGAAAGGTGGAAGGGAGCAGGAAATGAGGGAGGCCGAATGCAAGATGGACAGACCCCCTTAAAGAACCCACAGGCTTGAATCTGCTGCCTGAGCAGGACCGTTGAGGACATTTTGGAGACCAAGAAGGAAGGAAGGTAGATTTAAGGAGAAGAAGAGAGAAAGAAAGTGATTGTTTATATTCTTATTTATATGCCCCCTTTCTCCTAAAGATCCAAGATGTTGTTGTTTTTTACAATAGGAAAAGAAACCAAGTTAAGTGTCAAATAATAAATGATTGCAATATTTGCGGAGCGTTAAGCAAATGTCATATTAAATTTCATCAAAGACGACCCACTTTAGAAACGCAAGGAAAACAGCAGAATAAAAAGAATTTCCTTTTTTCCTTTGGTTGACTAGCCAGGCTTTTAGAGGAAAGCCTGCTGGAAGAAGAAAGGTCTTTGCTGGAGTTTCTGGATATTTTCTTTCCCCCCAAAAAAACCCTGCAAAGGGCCTCCTCCGTAAGTCAGACCTGACTTGACGGCACAGCCTTATTATTAAAAGGAAGGAAAGAATATTGGATTCTATTTTGGGCCAAGAAGAAAAAAAAAATGTTTTCTCAAAGATGATGTGTCATGGATTCTGTTAACAGGAAAACTGCATAGCGAGGACGTCAGGACCCTAAAAGGAGGTGTCTTACAAGTTATAGCCATAGGGTAGTCCTACTTTGAGAACTGGTCTCGGGCTGGCTGTGAGTTCGAATCCCCCCAGTGCCTCCTCAACAGGGACTAGATTCCATGATCCATAGGATCCCTTCCAGCTCATCTGTTCTAAGGTGATAAATGATAGCTTTTAACATGTAAATGTGCCGCAAGGTTAGGACAAAGCAGCCTGGAACCACAGGAGGATCATCCTCTGTCTTTCTCTCCTGTTAATTTTTGCAGCTGGAGGACGAGCTGGCCGCCATGCAGAAGAAACTCAAAGGCACGGAAGACGAGCTAGATAAATATTCTGAAGCTCTCAAAGATGCCCAGGAGAAATTGGAGCTTGCAGAGAAGAAGGCAGCTGATGTATGTATGATGCAACGGATGAGCCTTCTTCCTTACACACTCAGGGTCTGGGGGTCATTTGCATTGCTTCATCTGGTAATTTTCCACCCTGACCTGCCTTAAGGTGGGCCCGCACGCATACACAAAGTCTTGTCTGGGCAAGTCCCCCCCCCCACTCACCATTCTGTTGCCCTTTGACCCTCCCCTTCCTGAAATATTTCTCCTGCCAAGACAACAGCCAGGAAAACACCCTCCTTTCCATCTGACCTCCAGCGGTGTCCTCCAAGGCTGTGGTTCCCAACCTGGGGTCCCCAGACAATCTCGGACTCCAGTTCCCAGAAGCGTCCCCCGTGAGCCGTGCTGGCCAGGATTTCTGGGAGTTGCAGTCCAAGAACACCTGGGTGCACTCAGAGGTGGACATGGCACTCCCTCCCCTTCGCTTGCTGATTTCTGCTGTGTAGAGCCCAAAGCTGGCCAAGTTATTCTGCAACACGAGACGGGCAATCCCACAAGCAGTAGTAAAAAGGCAATAGGAACAAGTCCATTAGCTCATGACATTCTGGGTCTGTTTGGAATCCTGTATGGATCATAAATGGATAGAGAGACTACTTGGCCCATAAGGCCATGCATTTCCCAGAGAGGCGCCCTATGAAAGAGAGGCTACCTGGCCCATAATTCTGTGCATTTCCCAATTAGCTTAGCCCTGACTTCTGACTTCATCCATCCTCATCACTGTGTCTAAGCAAAACACTCTTTCTCAGCAGAAAGTGGTCACAGGGACCCAAAAGCGGTTCTAGAGCGTCAGGGCCCTGCTGATTATCCTTCAGTTGGACCGGCCTATGCGAGGAGAGGATGTCTGAAGAGGAAGGAAGCCCTGCCCCTTGGTTGCACACCAAGCTTGACTATGTTTCTGACAGAGAGCAATGAATGTTCGAAACCACAGCCCTTGGGGGGCTAGGACACAGCCAGCGAGGAGACCCCTCCCGGCCCTCTCCCCTTCCCACCCATCGACCTCTTGGCCCGGAGAGCGGAAGTGATGGGCTGGCAGCTGCCAAAGGAAGGGGAAATGCTCAGGGTCCTAAAATAACCTTATCTTCTCCGGCAAATGTTGCGGTTGAGACGATGCACGGTCACCGCCTCGCCCAACGAGCCGGTATCCTTTGCACAACCGTTCTGTGGAGAGCCAGTTCGAGAACCGGCCGAATCCATTTGGTCGGGTCTCTTCCCTGGCTTAAAAGATAGAAGACATACACACACTTCCCTCGTGCTTAATTTGCTAATGATCACAGTGAGAGTTGCTATTAGTCAAGGGCTGGTCGCCTCTGGCAAAGTCGGCTCGCCTCCAGGTGACCGACTAGGTAGGCGTTTGCAAACAGGAAGAGATCTGGGTGCTTCAGCACACCCCAGATGAACAGGGATATGTGGCGGTAAAACCGAAAGGGGCTCCTGGTTTATAGATCAAGGACTTTCTTCAAAATCTGACTTTTATTTGTAGTTAAAGAACCGTAGCTCAGTTAGGGGGGGGGAGAGCATTTCCTTTTTCGTGGACTGCATCTTAGTCCTGGAGATTTCCAGTTAAAAATACCAGGCAGCTTATTAGCGAGACTTTTCCTTAAAAAGGGAACGATCTCCCGCATGGCATAATCGGAGACGCGAGAGGGCCCCGTAGCCCGAGGAAACTCTGAGTCACTTGCGTGTGTCCGAGTTTAGGAAAGAGTCGCCTCTAAAAACGTGGTCCAAAGGGTGACAATTCAAAGCTGGAGCTAAGTGGAAACCCAGCCAGCTCTGCCGCCTGAGGATATATGAAGATGATATGCCGTGCTGGGCCGCCACCTTGTATTGTTAGCATCAGTCTCTAGGAAAACAGTGGCATAGGGTTTCTCCCTGAACTGGGGCTGCCCCATCGGTCAAGTGCCTCTAGGCTGTCAGCACGCCTTGCCCAGCTGCCGCCTGGCATTCGGGCGAGGATTATCTGTGTGCACGGATCGCCCGAAAATATTTGGCAGATATACGAGCCTCCGCTGCCTCTCTCCGTTCTCATTTTAGGCTCCAGACGGGACCATCGCTGGGTCCCAGTGTGGAATGCCCGGGAAAGTTACTTTGGTAGGCTAGGAGAAAGCAACATCGGGCTAAGGAGGGGATTATGGGCATTGTAGTCCAAGAAGCTCCGATAGTATAGGACAATGCTGGGGCGCCATCGGAGGCTGGGGAGTTACTTTCATCTGTTTAGTTAGTTATATGTTCAGAGACCCAACAATAGCAACCATGTTTTGCTCGATTTGGCAGATCCAAAAAAAAATTAATAAAAAAAAAGAGTTACTTCAAAATATCCTACCTATATGACTTCATACAGTAGGATATTTTGAAGTAACTCTTTTGTGTGTTTTGAAAGTAATCAGGATAGTTACTTCTAGCTAATTTAGAACATCAAAATGCTAAAAACCGTTGACCCATAGTTCAGAATACACCACAGCCCTGAGACCGCAATCCTTGTGATCATAAAAATGATATAATAATGCAGCAAAAATGAATGAAGTTACCCCATCAAGAGCTTGAGAAAGTTGATTTTGGGCAGGAAAATCCCCAGAATCTGGGAGTTGTACTTGAAAACAAAATAACTTTTCCATGTTCCACCTCTTAGTTACTGAATAAAGGAATCCTTACAAGTAACTCATTATTTGTAATGAATTAGTTCCAAGGTCCAGGCACGGTTTGTATTTGATGTGCTGCTCTAGCCATCTGGGAAGCAGGACTTAACAACCAGGGATGGCGAAAGAGATGTGTGTGATTTTTCTCTCCCATTAAACTTTGGGTCAGGAGAAGCGGACCGGGAACGGCTGGGCCTCAGGCAGTGAAATTTCTTGGGCAGCCTTGGTCTGAAATGGAGGCTTTTAGAAATAAACTTCCTCGGATCCTTTTCTAAGGGAGATTTTAATTTAGTTTAAGGCTCTTTGTAGTACAATCTATTTCCTTGCCATGCCTCGGCCAGCCTGCAGAGAGCACCAGAAAAAACTCTGCCCTTCTGTCCCACACCCAACTATGAAAGAATATAAAAATTTCATTTCTGTTTGTAGGCATTTAGTTCCCGGTGGATTCCAGCTTGGAGATCCTTCTGGGCAGTAGTGGCCGGCTGGCGGCCAAGGAAGGAGGAAGGCTGGGGAGAAACTTTTAGCAGCTATTTTTCTTGAGCTTCCAAATCGCCCCTTAAACACCTCTTCGCCTTGCGTTTCCAGGAGGGTGAGAGTAATCTTAGAAACCAGCTTCCTTTGCCAAGGAATGCCTCCCTGGCGCTAATTGCAAAACCAAGCAAAGGAAGGCTTTGCAGGCTCCTGGAAGAAATGAAACAAGGAGTGACAGACGCAGAGGGCTTAGCAGGACTAAATCGAAATTTGGGAGTAACTCAGCAATATTTATTTACATTTATTTATGTAGAAATAAAACAGGAAGGCTGTCGGAGATGCTTCCACACCAGTCAACACGCCTTAATCCATACGTTTCCTCGGAGTAACGTAAATCTGTTTAAAATCCGGTGGATGTTCCTGATTAACAGACGTATGCAAAATTGCAATAGTTGCAGCAGTTGTACACACACACACGTTTGTTTTGAAGAATGGGCTGCTACAATTATTGCAATTTTGCATCCTTCTGTTAATTAATATATATATTAATGTGATATTGTTACAGATCCCTCAGTCTTTTTCCCGCCCACCCTTGCAAGTGTTGCTTTGTGCCAGCCTCCAGTTGAGAGAAGTTGGGAAACCACCGGCTGAAGGCCGGGGAGAGCCACTGAAGTACATATATGGGCATGAGAACTCAAATTAACCTTAGCAAAATTTGCTCGGCGAAGGAGCGGACACGGAGAAACATTCCATTCCAGTGAGATCTTGCTTTTTTTTGCACACACACACACAAACCAAGTCCCGGAGGGGTGGCCATTTCCCCTACGGTTGTGTTCTTTAGACTTCTATCCCAGCATATCTTTGGCGTTAAGACGACATTGGGAAATCTAAACTGTTTAAATATATTTATTTTTTTGCTCTCTTGCAACAAACCACTTTGCGAATTTGGGTTTTGTTGTTTGTTCCGCTTGCTTTGGGCATCCCCAGCAGAAAGAAACTGTGGGTTTGGGGAGAGTGCTTTTATCAAATTCCCACAGTCTTTCCAGAGCACAGTAATTCTCGGGAATTAAACTAGTGGCTAGTTTAATTCCCGAGAAAAGATCTGTATGAGCAAAGGGGAGGAAGGCTGAGAGATGCAAACATTTCCTTTGGAGATGGCAGCCCCATAACAGTTCAACTTTTTTGGGGGGGACTCTGAACTCCCAGAAGATTCCCAACCACAACGGCCATTGCCTGGTGGGGCTTGATGGTCTGGGAGCTGGGAGCTCCTCAAAAGTAAACTGCTCTTCCACACCAGCAGAGATCATTCAGGAAGAAGTTGGATCTGTTTTCTGCTCTCCGTTCAATGTATTGAGTGAGGAATAAGGCGGGAACGCCTCCTCAGAACCTGTGATGGATGGACTTCACTGGTGATCTCTAGAGGTGGCCCAGAAGCCAAATGGAGGTTTTGCCACCTTGCCTACAATGGGCATGGGTTTATCTGGTCCATTTATTTATTTATTTATATGCCGCCCACACTACCCAAAGGTCTCTGGGCGGCTTATAAATTAAATAAATAAATAAATGGATCCATTGAGTCCTTGCACTGGGGTGCTTCTGACGTGAAGGAGAAAAGGGAGCGTCTCTACTTTGTTTTATTTCATTTTAATTTTTGTTTGCATGCATGTAGATTCGCCTTGCAAGCCATCCCTCCCTGATTCCAGAGGGGGGGGCTGCTATTTTCATCACTCACTCAGAGCTTGGAAAAAGTTACTTTTTTTCATGTGTGTGGGGGGGTAACTTTTCCAAACTCTGGGTCCTCCTCCTCCTCTTCCTGCCCTGGCAAGGAGGGGAATTTTCCCCCCAAAGTTTCCCCTTCCACCAGCCAGGGAAGGAGGGAGGGAAAAGATGCTCGGGCCTGGC